GTCGTGGTTCTCAGGCCCCCAGTCCATCAACAAGCGCAACGATTTGGCGTTCACACACGGTGTACTGAGAAATTTCCTGAGCAAGAGAATCAGTCACGTGGGAAGGACGGGCGAATCTATGAATCTGACGCGCCCTAATAGTGAAGACTTAGAAGGCTGCAGGCTAACTGGATACCTCGGTCTTCGTGTGTCAGTACAATGAGTGTGCGAGGTGAGCGGCTCGAAGACCGTCAGTGTGGCTCAATTGATCCTCCTATGCATGCGCATTGATATAATCTCTGTCGTCACTCGGGTAGAAGGGGATGGACATTTTTTGTTGTCAGTCTGTATGCCTCTGACCGGCAGCCGGTGTTTAGAAGTTGGCGGCCATCACCAATTTGCTGAAAAGTTTGGATGCTACTTTAAAATAAAGCGAATTTCTCCCTCTCTCTTTCTCAACCTTATTTGTCGCTCCGGACTGCTAGTCTTGTTTGCGCAATCAAATGCTTATGTTGGTCCGCCAGGGTCCGACTCCTCTCTCATAAGCATTTGTGTGGACTTTTTATCTTCCTTATAGTCTATATACCTGCTCCTTGGTTCCGTGGTCAAGATGCCCGAGAACGAGGCGACGCCAGAACAGCGGACGAATAGAGTCTTCGAGCTAATGGACAAGGACCGGGATGACCGCATCTCGCTAGAGGAGTTTCTTGAGGGCGTTCAGGCTGACCCAGACGTGCTCCAACTCCTCAAACTGGACACTATAGCGTTGGGAGTTTCCGCCACGACAGGAACCCACGAGCACAACGACGTAAATCCGGTGACCCATCCTCAGCAGCAGCAAACACAGGCATCGCACCTGCCGAGCGGCAAAGGGGCCGCTACTGTTTGAGAGGAGGTACAATTGTCTCATAATTTTTTTCATTTCTCGGGTGGGGAGGGGCAGTGTTAGATCCGTCTATACATGCGCATACAATATAGAGGTCAAGCTAGGAAGGAGCCATTGCAGTCTGCCTTTCAGACCACCAGTCGACCACTCCACACAAACACACCTTGGACTGACTGCGAGTTTTGGGTGTAATTGTCGGTTGGCAACCTTCCAGGCCACGGCGCTTGGCACACTGTGGTAGTCTCAGGCTCGGATGACACATGCAGCAGGGAACCGTATGGAGAAGGAGCCCAGTATCCTAATTTCCTCTCACGGGAAATGTGCTACACGCAAACCCATGCTATGTAGTGTTGGGTGTGACAATGTTTGATTTGGATATTAGTGAGGAGAGATATGGCAACATGGTATAGCTGGCTGTGCTCTACCGCCGGTTATCGTGGAGGCGCATGTGGCTTAAGAAGCCCATGCGGTGTGTGAGTGTGTGTGAACAGTACGGAAAGTTGAGATGGGTGCGGTCGCTGTATGTCGGGATTCCAGGCACTGGTTCGCCAGCCTCTGTTCAATTAATTCGCAAGTGACCGACCAGGCCAATGCATGATGTGCATGCGTGATAGCCATCAGGGTAAGATATGTCGAAGTGCTGAGTCGACAATGCTGTTATTGTTGCTGGTGGTAGTCACGACGATTAGGGGCTTGGAATTGGTGATGAACGTGCAGGATATGTTAGGTGTGTCGACATCGTGTTGACTTCCATTGTCATGGATACGCATACGACCGAGTAGGCTCCTGTAGTGAGATAATGGGTGAGGTTGGTTTGTTGGTAGCCCTTGTTGGATCAGAGGTCCCCGCCGGAGTCCAAACTGGGTGCAATTACGAGATAGAGAAAAGCCGCTTGAGCCAAAGGTCCACGGGAGTGAGTTGGGTGCCTGGCCCGGCCGACAGCTGCCTTGTGGATAGCTAGAATAGACGGCCGAACATTGCGGCTAGGCTCAGCAGCGTGGCAACGATGGATATAAGGATGGCCAGGTTGTGAACAGGTCCACCAGAACTGCTGGCCTAAGAGTTTGTTCTGAGGGGTGACCGGCAGGACAGAAGCTTCTGCATGAAGGTGATCGATGGGCGACATTTTATAGCAGCCCATGATCGTGCAGAGGGCACCGTTCTGTGCTGACTGAAGGTGGCGGAGGCTGGAGGAACTGATTGTGAGAGACCAGACTGGTGCCGCATAGATGAGATGCGGCTTGGTCAGCGCTTTGAA